CCCCAAAACCCCAAAACCCCAAAACCCCAAAACCCCAAAACCCCAGCACATTATACTGCTATTGAATTAAGTCAAAATTATTGTTCCTCCATGACTTTAATCCAACTTTTAACATCACTAAGCAGCACTTTGCATCCATCAACTTGCATGCCCACATCTTCATCGTCTCCTCAACGACCATCATAGTAAGCAAAAATTTCTAGGTAACTCACTTCAATCTTTAACCGTGTCAAGTCAAATTCTAACCCACTGCTAGCAATTACTTCTTCTAGATTTTTCTGGTTCATTACAAAGGCTATAAAGTTAGGCCTATACCTACATTGACTCCCAGTGTTGTGTGTGCTAAAAGATAAAGGAACAGATATGGCCTCTTGAGAGTTATACATTGAAAATATCGACTTTAAGTAAGTATTTAAGTCACCTAGCTCTTGCAACTTTTGACTGATTGATGAACGCGATATAAGAGATGAACCTGGTCACGGAAAATATTTCCTTGTAACGTAATCATTCAAAGGGAAGATCATCTTTGATGCTTGCTGACCTTGATACACTTCCGACAGTGATGTTGAAACGGAGAGTAAAAATTTTGTATAACAGTTTTGTAAGTTTTGCACTTCTTTCAATGACTGCAGATTCAAACTACTCAAAGTTCTCAATTTTCTTTGAATGGGATATTTTGAAAATTCCTGTCAAAACTCTTCCACAGTTGTTACTATCTTATGGTCGTAACTATTATTGACATTTAATCCATACCTTATTTTTTCTGTAATTTCACTAAACTTTCTCTTATTTTGGCTTAAATGGAGTTAATAACTTTGAAAAGAATCCTCGGGGTTTCACCTTCTGCTTCGAATCATCTACAGATATAAACTTCGCCTTGTTTCAGTAAGATCAGTCCACTTTCTTCTCCACTTGAACACTTTGGTATGTATCCTCATAGCCAGATTTATGCTCAAGAATGATTCATAAATCAAGCTCAATTTTATCAAGAACAGCATTAATATTTAAATTATCTTCAATTTCTTTAATTTTGCTGATTTTTGCGTTATTCCGATCTATAGCAGCTTGCATCTCTTGTATTCTATACCCAAGCTTTAATATTTTATCTTCAGAGTTTAGCTTTGATTCTTCAAGCTTTCGTGAAACATCATTGGTTATTGATTTGATTATTTCAATCGCAGTTTCATTAGTAAGCTCAGCTTCCCTGAAGCTGGTCTTTAAAATTTTACGTTGAAGCTCAAAATGACGCAGTTCAACTCCAGGTGTCCGATCTTGGAAAGATTTATACTTTACATGTATTAACATCGATTCTAGGAAGTCTTGATCATCGGTTTTACTAAATAGGTTTTTGTCAAATTCTTCACAGTCAAACAAAAATTGGATTATTGTTTTCTCAAATCTTAGCCTTTCTAACTCAATTTTGGTTTCTTTATTTTTAGGATCATCTTCAAGTTGCTTTGATAGAGGTTTCATAAGCTTGATGTACTTTGCTGTCAGTATCTTCATCCCAGATTCTTCAGTATCGGAACCCTCTTGAAGGAATATGTAAAACTGATTGTAAAGGTCAGCCATAATCATATCAAAATCATCAGCCTTCTCAAATTCCTCTGGATTTTCAACATAATCAGTCTCAATTTCTTCATAGTTATCCAAATTAATAACACTATGATTCTTGGAGGTTGACTCGAATCCGACCTGTGTGGAATCTCTAGTTGAGGGAGCCAGTTTGCTGCAATTAGCCCGTACTTTAATCTCTTTGTCTTTCACTCCTTTCCAGATTATCACAAAGCTTACCTGCAATTTGCAGAAGAAGAGACTCGTGCTCGTTAAGGTACTGGATGCTCTCAATAAGTGCCCTTTCTTGCTTGCCTTCGACCTCGTCACTGTTTCTAAGTATGCTCTCTCAAATTCGGTATACAAGACCTTTGCTTATTCAAACATCTGTTTTCAGCCCAATGCTCGACTTTGGTTGCTCATACTTCTGCACCTCCAAGTCACAAATGGCGTATATAAGCTGAGAACCAAAATGCTGATATTTATCATCTTCAAAAAAGTCAAATATAGGGTTATTCTCTCCGAATATTGAAGTTTTATGGTCCAAAATGTGGTTGGTCAACAAGTTAATTTGATCAAAGATAATCTCTAGTCCTTTTGTGGGATAAGAACCAAGCAAAGACTGGTTAAATGGAGTCTTGAACAATCATCTGCCAATCCATGTCTTGTATATCAAAGATATGAACCCAGTCCGGACTACAGGGTGGTCTTCTGATATGTTTTCTCCAAAATACTCGTCAATCTTCGATCTGATCATGAACAAAATACATTTAAGCGCGTATGGCAGCTTTGGAGGAATTTTAGAGACCTGATCCAAAATCTGACCAATTACTCCAGAGCAATGTTCAAGCACTTTCTCTGGAGATGCATTGCTCTCCTGTTGGTTCTTTGGATCAAATTTTGAAATAATTGAATAAATTTTACTATCATTTCGAGGTTTATGAATCAGATCTCTTAAGGTCTCACCTTTTAAAGAATTTTTCCTTTTCCTTATTTTATTTCTGACATTTCTCTACTTCGATTCTGAACACGAGAGATTCGACATCAAGCTGGGGGAAGGATGAGAAGCTGTTCCTTCTTAGTTTTTCTAAGAATTAGCACTAAAACTTACTTAGCTGCTTTAATTTTTCACCTGTCTTACTAATACTCCACTGGCTGTCCATAGTCTGTGTTCTTTGAACGTCCTCAGAAAGTTGGTTCAAATCCTGATTCTCCAAAATTTTTAGGTCGATTTGATCAAAAACACTCTGAAATTGCTCAGAGACAAACTGCTGGCCATCGAAAGTATCTCATAACTTCTGGAAAAGCACGACTGTAAAACTTTTCTTAAAATAAGTTGATATCTGGTTTTTCTGAAAATTATGCTGAATGTCGATTCCAACTATGAGCTGAAGAAGTGAATAAAAATTATTCACACCTTCTTGTGAGTAATAATCTTGATACATCAAATGATTAGGAACTAAAAATGTGGCTATGTATTCAGCAAACGCTTCTTGCTCTTTCCTACTCCAGTTAAGGAGTCAATCTCGAATCAATATTCTCAGAAATCATGAATTATCCTTCTTAATATCATTAATAGTATTAATACTATCATACTCAAAATTCTAAACGTCAAAATTACCCAAAAACCCTACCAAAATCTGTTCACTGACTGCTAGGGCTAATTTCTTAACCTGCTGGAAGGAACTGGAAGACATGCCTTTCTTGAACTCTGCTTCCCCTTCTACTTTAAGGAGTTTCTCTCAGTTATTTCCGAACTGGTCGTCAGGCTAAACTTAGTTATCCCATATTACTCAATAGAAGTATATGTTTACGAGCAAAACCTACCTTTTCTGCTTGATTTCCAGTTTCCATCATCTTGACTAAAAAGTTTTGTAGCTCAATCTGAGATAAAATCAATTCTTTCTTCACTTTATTAAGCTCGGTGGTAAGGTTTCAGTGATTTTCTGCGTTTAGCTTTCCAGATATATAGAATGAGTGTATTAACCCCCTGAGCTTCTTCATAGTCTTATAAAATGAAGGAACCATAATGTCGAATATTTGTCTTGCAATTTAATTTATACTATTTGGGGTTTTGGGGTTTTGGGGTTTTGGGG